ATTTCTAACGCTGTAGTTTAGATTTTGTAGCAGTTATTGATGTTGATAATTTAATTGGTATAGATATATATTTGTATTGGTATTTGTTTTAATTACCAGCGCCGATGCAGAGAAAGCATCGATTTATACTGATTTTGGAACATTTAATTCAATACAGCGAGGTATTTTTGGAAGTTTGGAAGAAATAAGACACAGGATAATGAATCTGGCAAGTGTCGTCGATGACGATGTCTGTCCAACTTCAATTTGTATAAAAATTTAACCATTTTTCCTTCTTTGGAGTAAATTTGTCTGCCTCTCCGATTCCTATGTGTTAACTTTGTCTTTATCTGCAACGCGGTATAGTCCTGTATATAAAGGGTTTGTAGAGAACATGGAAAAGGGGAGCTTTATTTTTTCAGCGATGAGTTTGGATTAGTGAGGAAGTGGTTACAAGATTAAGAAGCGGAGGGAGGGGAAAAGGTACCATTAATAAGTTTTTCCTTAATATCTCGAAAATATAATTTCTTGTTGGAAACAAAATACTCTTTGATAAATGAAAGCTAACAAAAATGTTTACAATATTTTTAATAATTTTTTCATATTCCATTTTAAGTTATCACTAGCTAAAACAGCAAATTTGTAAAAAATGTTTTTCACCTCGTTTTTTAACAAACATTACCTTGTAGAACCGCAACATTCACTTTTACGGTAAAGAAGTTGTAGGACAGCCAATATTTACGTAAACATGTATTTATTTACTTTAGAGTATATTTTAAGACCTAAAATCACTTAAATAATAATTCAAAAACTAGACCTATAAACAACTTTGTTTGGAACACAAATTACGTAATATCTAACCACTAATACAGCGTATGTATAAAAAAGGTTAATAAGTAATTTGATTTGGCAAAAGTGAAGGTAGGTACCTACTCGTAATAAAGGCCATACAAAATTCGCAGCGTTATTTTCCCTTCAACTTTGCATATGTCATCCTGTAGATACTGATTGATGGCAGAAGTGGTCAGGTTCGCACGGTGCTAATTACATATCATTATGGTTACAATGGCTATTGCAATGATGAGTAGGTCCATATACGTTCGACACGTTTAGGCAGCAAATCATGCGTGCTTCCCTTTCTTCCCTGTGTATTTACGACTTCATGTTTCGAACAGATTTCGTTAGTAGGAGTAGATATACTTATCTTATTACATTTCGGTAGGGTTGAATTAAAATATTTTTGAATAAAGTTATTGTTAATAAAAAGTGACCTTTGTACCTTTACAAGAGACTGGCTCTGTTGCTAATAATTTATACCTAGAGTATAGACATTTTTATTTTAATTACCTTTATGCTTACAAGAGCATATTATTATACGCGTAGGTACTTAATGTGAGTGCATTAGAAGAAATACCAGAAGATCAGAAGTCACTATTTCAACTCATATATTAAAAGCTTACAAACTTGAGGTTTTAAATAACATCGTAAATATAGCCAATGAAGAAATAAAAAGGCTTAAGAATGAAAACTTAAATAGGTAATTAAGGAGGAACAACGTCGTGATTTTCGGTATTGAAGCCGAAAATGAAGAAAGTGTTTTAGATAAAACTATTAAAAACTTAAGGATAATTTAGGGTAGAATATTACAGAATGGTAGGTACCTAGATGTAAACTTGGAAAAGGCTCGAAATGTCCTATGCTAATTGAATTTATCTCTGTTGTGTAAAAAAAAATTTTTTTCTGACATAGAAAACCTGAAACAATTAAACAAAAAAGAGCTGGGCGATTTCAAATGATTTATTCATAGAAGATAGATAGTACTGATAGTGATGCCGCGAAACGAAAGGTTCTCGTCTCTCTCTCTCTCGACGAGAATTTTTAGTTTCTCTCGAGCTTTCTCGAGCAATTTACTTTTTTCTTATTTGAAATTTTCAATTGCTTATCGTAACGTAAAAATTTATACATATTAGATTGCCAGATAGTTAACTATAACCCACGAATACTATATATATTAAATGATAACAAATAATACGTGTATAATTGGGATTTTAATAATAGTGATTTATTATATTATGATTATGATAAAATAAAAACAGGAATGTCAGTATTTAGAACTTTTTTTTGCTACCAAAATTTTATTTACAACTTATTCAATTAAATTATTAAATATCTATTGAATTTGGAATTTCTGCACTTGGGCGAAATTTGCTGACACTGCGGTTAATAGCGCCCATTTAGGAGGATAATACCGCCCGTTGAAGAAAAGGTGCACAAATATATTTTATATACCTAATATTTACATAACTTGTATGAATAAATTAAAAGACAAATTTAAATACAAAAATATACTTTATTATTTAAATGAACTAAAAACAGTCTATAAAAAAATACTTATTTAAGAAAAAAAGTCACAAACAAAATCCAAAATCAAATCCAGTGCACACTTACGACAAATACCTCGCCTATACCACATTTCCGATTTTCCAAATTCACCGCAAACCAAACATATTTCGTCCTCCATTCCACTGTCATCATCAAGATTGTCAGAGCTTAGATTATCGCAAAGTTCATTTTCATTGTAAGAGGAAGCGCTCGAGGAGTCATCGTCAAACTAACCCTTTTTTACCCTCTTCACCGGCAGTGAAACTGTCGCTTTCTTTTTTTTCTGCAACCTTCTTTCTTCTTTCTTTTCCAGCTCAGTTTTCTCCGGAGTTGCTGTTAAAATTTTTGATACTCCTCGATGGATATATTTTCTTGAAATTCAGTTTCTCGTGAGGTTGAAGTTCAGCTTCCCGAGAGGTAGAAGGTTGAGGTTCAACTTCACTTTCAGACTCTTCAGGTTCGATAACTGGTATTTTAGAAAGTGTCGCGGGCAGAAAGTCTTCATTTGTAAATATATTGGGCCTATATGGCACGATCCCACTTACTTCGAACCCCTTGTGGGCTTTTTCTATTGTAGAAACATAGATAGAACAACGATTAAAAATCTCGGCAACATCATACGGTGTTATTTTGTCTCATAAAAAGTGAACATTCATTTGAGTAAGAAGATTTTAATGCACAAAAAACTGTCAAGTCGAGAGGCTGTAGTTTGTGGAATGTGTGGGGTGGGAATGATAACATTGTTATACCATTTTGACGACAAAATTCATCGCTATATATATAAGTCGCTAAAGAGCAATGACTACTGTGATTATTCAACAGCAGTAAGACCGGGTTGTCTTTGGATGCTACTGAATGTTCTTTAAAGTGTTTTAGCCATGTTAGAAACAACTCTTCGTTAATTTGACCTTCGGCAGAGCATTCATATATAGCTCCTACATGTCCATTCCCTTTCAAAAGATCTGGCTTAAGTGAGACCATCTGCAGAGCAATTCTCTACCTCTAATATACTTCTGGGTGAATATAACCAGAATAGATTGGAAGCCTGTATCTGCCTAAGCTAGAACAGGTTACGCATTGTAACAGGGGTCCTCACCGGGCATTGCCGACACAAAGGACACCATAATAAACTGAGAGTAGTAGAAGATAGTGACTGCAGATTCTGTCAGGAGTATGAAACCTCCATTCCCATTCTGACTGAATGTGTAGCACACCAGAGCCAAGGACACTATACTTAGGTGCATACCAACTAGAAGAGGGCGATTTACATATTTTAAAGCCACTCCAAATTCTACATTTCCTTGAGAAGATAGGATAGGAAGGGTTGTATAGACATCGAGTCTATTTCCTCGATGCATTAGCCATAGAAGGGACACAATAGATATTTTAGATCGCAGTGCATTAATACCCCGTACCCAAAATGTAACATCGATATCGATCAAGAGTACTTTTTCTAGTTTAAGGTTTAAGCTGTTCAAAAATATTAAATTAAACCAACTGCAATTATTTTCCAGACGTGTTCGTTATAGAGGGGTCTTGAAACAAAAAAATATAGAAACTTGTCATGTTATTTTTATGTGTTCTATCCGAATCCGGATTTCCTACATATTCTGGGATACTCTTAATATAAGGTCAACTTGACGATTTTTATCAAAGACTTCGCTTAAAATTGTGTTATATAAACTAGATTAGACGTAGTAGTTCGACACCTTATTGGTGTTGGGGAGAAAGAAATTTGCAACATATTTGTACGACTATAACAGGTTCTTATTTCAAATTTCAAGAATAAACTGAAGAGAAAAGAAAGAAGACTTATAGACGGTAGCAGCAGTATCAGGAAGAAAGGTAGGTACAATAACAATACAGAAATGATTGGAAAGAAAAATTGGAGAGGTACATTTTCAGAAACAATTAAACTATTATGGGCATTCCTTTTTCTGCTTGTAGGAATTTAAAAGAAAAATATTTTTCAGGCAGCTGTGTAACTTTGATGCACACATTTTTCCAATTTCCTGAATTTGCCATTAAATTCATTTAAGCACCTTCTATGTAATTCAATCAGTGACAAAGTAACCATTAACGCTAATACTAATAAAACACCAAAACAATAGCAGGAAAATCAGGCGCACTGCTGACTTGCCATTGCGGGAAAATCACACGTTTCCTCCCTTTTCCCCTCTACTTCAGTCATTTGTCACAATGCCCGCAATTCGGAGTTCTTCAGCTATGCAAAACTAATCTCATCATAATAATATTTTACATTTCATATTGTTAAGGACTTATTTTCTCGCTGGATTCCGAATTGTCGCTGTGAGAGAACGGACACCTTGCGGCTTGACGCTTACGGCTTACGGTTCTGCGGTTACGGAGCCGTAAAATCTGGAATTCGCACAAAACTTTTTCACGAATAACGTTATTTATTTTATTGTCAAAGAGCTTTACGTAAAATAAATTGTTATACTTACGAGGTTTTTATAGTTGACTATTATTGCCTTTACGAAATCAACGAAAAGTTCCTACTTCTGCAAATTTAACGAACGAACGAAGAAATAATTGGTCCAAATATTCAATCAGTTTCATTGTATCTAAAAATGGCGCATATCAGGTTTATTGTTTACGCTTTTTTCTATTTTTTCTAGTGGCCAGAAGACGACGGAAAGAAGGCAGACCGAGGCGTCAAAGAACGACGTTTAGCAGTGAACAGACTTTAAGATTAGAAATCGAATTTCAGAGATCAGAATATATCAGTCGAGGTAGGAGATGCGAATTAGCGGAATCATTAAGGTTGTCCGAAACCCAAATAAAAATCTGGTTTCAAAATAGAAGAGCTAAGGATAAGAGAATAGAAAAAGCACACATAGATCATCATTACAGGTTAGACAACGGATTTTTTTTATTTATACCATTTATAAGTAGGGGAAATTGTTCCACAATGAGACATAAATTACGTTTCGGTAAGTTGCCAGAGGTTATGATTGAATTTTGTTGTTTCATGCACATAGATTGACATATTCCTCGTCATTTAACGCAATAAGTTTATCAATATATCGATTTAGAAAATAAATAGGAATTTTTTTTTAAATCGTGATTTTTGTCTCATTGTGGAACAAGTATGTTCCACTATGAGACAGAACTTTTTAGACCAAAAAACTACAAAAAATATATGATAAAGGAAAATGAACATTTTTTTGAAAAAAACAGTATCCAAGAAACGTATTTTGCTAGATAGGACAACATAAAATATAAATCCAACAAGTAAAAAATAAAATAAAATCCTTCAAAATATTAGCGCACATTTAATGAGTTGAAGTTTAGTTTAAAACGTATGAGATCCTGTTGCCTCTTAGTTTTTCCAGTCGTTAAATATTTGGAAAGTATTATTTTGATGTTTTTTTCTTTGATCATACTTATATCTTCTGTTACGGGGTGGAAAAACAGTTGTTAGACTTGTTACTTTTAAGAAAGAATTGAAATTTTAAATTCATCTTGTTTTTTATTTAAAATTTTTCCGACATAAAAGATAACAGTTTTTAATTCATCAAATTGAACTAAAACGTAGTCCCCAGCGATTGGTTCTCGCTCCAGTGCAAGAAAGTTATCTTTATCCAAGGCATCTTCAATATCACTAGCATCTTCAGAGGAGCCCCTAGTATATTCCTGATACGATTCCCTATCAGACTCTTCACTAGAAGATTCTTTAAACACTCTGGTCTTGACGTCATTTAATTTTCCCAGTTTTTTTCTCATTTTTGATTCCGCCTGCCTCACTTTCTCCTTGGATTTTGCTTTTATTTCATTAAGTTCTGGCGTGTCTGTAGCTATGATACTCTTCTTTTTTCTAGCCCTGTTCTTTTGTTGTAATTCTGTTGCTTTCGGATAGCTTTTCAATACTGCTGGCGATATAAATTTTTCAATAATATTAGTTCCTTTGGTGAGTTCAGATTCTTGAATATCAGTCTTAGAGGTTTTAAGTGTTGTGCCATTGCAATCCTGATTATCAGCCGTATGGGTTTTAAATATTTCGTCTCCGCAATCTCCAGTAATGTGAGGCTCAGATGGACCAGCAATTTCATCAGCTGGCTGGCATCGGTCAGTGACACTGCTAGCAAGATAATCGTCGTCCGTGAAAATGTTCTTGTCAAAGGGAAAAATACCTGAGTTTTTGAAACCTGCTGTTATATTTTTGGGGATCATAGATTTTTCAAACGCAACACCAACACATTCAGCTATTTCATAAATTGATATCGGACGGCCTGGATTTCTTAGCATCCACGATTCAACTGCAGCATTATAATGGTATTTGAATGGGAAAAAACCGAAAGATCTAAAGCCTGCAATTTGTGAAAGGTGTGCGGTAGCAATGTCAAGATAACTTCATTTTTCTTTGCTAGGTCAAGAACATAAGCCGATAAATGGCTTTCATGGTTATCCATAATTAATAGTGTGGGATTGTCTACACTACTCGATGTATGATGTATAAAGTGATTCATGACTTCTATAAATAAATCCACTGTCATCCATCCTGATGGTTGTGCAAGCCCTAAGGTACTGGGAGGAGCGCCGTGCAGCACGTGCTGTTTAAATTTCTTTCTTGGGAAAACCATAACTGGTGGAATAAAGCTTCCAGTGTCGTTTACAGTGCAGCAGGTGGTTACTAATATTCCGCGTTCACCGCTAGTTGCTGAGCTAACTTGTTTAATTCCCTTCTTTGTTACAACTTTACGTAGTTTCTGAACAGTAGTGGTTGCGGCCTCGTCCAGGTTGTAGATGCGAGTCCTATCTGCAAAATGCTTTGAAAGCTGATAGATCGATTCCAAATTGGCAAAAAATTGGCCTACATTATGCTTATTAAATGAAGTAGCTCTGGAAAGGCTACAGCCTTCTGATTGTCTTACACTCAACTCAGGGTTCCGTGACATAAAACCTAATAACCATTCCATCCCTGTCCGTTTATTAATTTTCCATTTTTCAGGAATGTTAAATTTATTTGCATCGGCTACTTCGAAAGCAAGTATTCACAAATCTTTCCTAGTTTTGCCGTAGCACATTTTCGAACAAGTTATGGCGTATTCCGCAATAAGTTTCTCCTGTTCTGAGGTAAAAATCTGCCGACAGGTATAGTTAGGCTTGTATCTTATTTTCACATTTTCGCCTGCAAATTTTTGTTTTTTGACGTAGCGATGAAGCGTTTTAAATTTAATGCCTGTCCTTTCAGATGCATGTCTTAAACTTAATTTTTCCTCAAGAACCATATGCACAGCTGCGTTCATTTGGTACTTTGTGAAAGAACCTTTTTCCGATTTTCGTTGTCTTCCACGAGCCATAGTTTTGACCCTAACATGGAAATAAAATGAAAAACATTACATACTCACACGTTGAAAAACTTTGTTCTACAATGAGACGGTGTCTCATTGTGAAACAAAACCAACTGTCTCATTGTGGAACTTTTTCGATATTATTTTAAGAAGTTGGCAAACATTTTTCGATCGTTTTGAACATCTCTAGTTTATACAGAATCCTAACCTAGAAATGCCCTAACAATTTCTGAATTTCAGATTTATCAAAAACCACCGGATTTTATTTAATCACCAATTGAAATATCGACTATAAAAAAAAACTTACCTCAATTTGAGCTATGTAAGTCACTAAATATGCTTAGAATTTTCTAAATTTCGTAAAAATTGTTGGAGCACATGCACAACTGAATATGTTCGTCGGCCATATTTTTTAAACTAAATAGGCGGGAAGTTCAAAAGGTTCAAAAGGAACATGTCTCATTGTGGAACACTTTCCCCTACCTATTTCAAACCTTAGAGTCGAATTATTTACCTACATCCGAATTCACAAAAGCATTTTAAATACGTACCTACGTGTAAATGCTTGAAGATAGAAACGTCAAAGTCGATTCAGAGAAAAAGTAGAGTTGGACGATTGCGTGATTTTTCAATCGCACTTTAAATCGTTACTGTAATTAATAAAATTCAAACACAAATCGTTAACAAATTAAATATTCTTAAATATTTTTATGGGAAACATTTTTTAATAAATTAATAGAAAAACATAAAGAATGTCAGTTTACCAAGAATAGTTAAATAATGTCAAACTCTACTGGACTTTCCATTATAATGACGTTTCTATCTATAAGGTTTTACATGTGAGTACATTTAAATATGTTTTGTAAATTAGTCTATTAAAGCATTAAAATTACATTTTTAACCATACCCGTTATTGTTAACCTAATCTATACTCCTCCCCTCACCACCAAGCCGACCAACTAGAACGAATCTTTATCATCCTTCGTTTACTTGGAGCCAAATAATTTATACAGTTTCTCAGAACGTATACGTAATATCATGTAACTATAGGTAGAAATTAAAATGTTTATTGATGTTGTGTCATCTATTCGGATGTGATCTGAGCAGTAAGAAAATAACATAAACATATAAGATAGCATTGTCAGGGCTGGTATATCTAAGGGGGTCGCGACATAGACCCAGTAAATGGATGAGGGGGTGACTGAGGCTAGGGGGGAAATAGTAGTCAGCTTAAGTTGGCAACACTTTTCTGACGTTCGTTTGAACGAGCATCGTGGCATCGTGCATATTACTGCATAATAATGTCAATATGGTACAAGTGGAATGAACCACTGTTTTCCTCGTAGTCCAATGTCGAATTAAAACTAAAAACATTTTGTACTTTTTTATATACCAAATTATGCAATTTGTTTCCACTTTATTTTAATGTTACATGAATAGGTACATGCGTTTGTGCTGTGGTGAATAAGTGTTCATGTGAAAATTATCTCTTAAACTACATTGTGATTGCACTCATCTCAAAACTGCATGCTGTAAATCCAGGATTTAAATCTTTCATAGTGTTGCTTGGGATAAATTGTAAAAAAGGTGTTGGACAAAACGTTTACAACCTAAAATTGCATGAAAAACATGATAGAAGAAGGAATTTTACCTTTGACATTCTCTTTCAACATTTTTAAGTGACTGTGGTTTGGTGAATGGACTGTTACCACAGTCAAAAGATTTAAAGTAAAAATAAAGTGACCAAGTTCTAATAAGAATACATAAGTTGAATATGAAAATGTAATTACTTGATTTAAATGTGATTTAATTAAGAGTTAAATAGAGGTTTCATATAAACAAAGTGCTGTAAAATGTTAATAAATGCAAAACCATTATTAAAGAGAAATTAGTTATCATCAATAAGATATTTTGTAGTAGCTGGTCTCTATAAATAATAAACTTGAAAGACTGAATTAGTAGTCACTTTTACACTAGAAGTAAAAACAAAAAAAATTGTGTGGTTGAGACTAATTTATATATTTAATAAAAACATTTATTTGAAATGTTTTATTTTAGTTTAATAATCTTTATAAATTGTGGGTACATTTGATCAGAATCTTGCAAATACTATAAAATGCATATGCTTCTATATGGTTAGTATTGGAGTAGAAGCACAAAAGTTTTGAATAAAAATATAGATACCGGAATATTTTGCTTGATTACTAAACTTTGGATGTTTTTGTTGTAGTCTGCTGTTAACACTATTGTCCTGAAATATTAAAAAAGCTAGACAAAGGTTTGTCCAACTCTTTTGTCAGCTTTGTTAATCTATGCTACTGTTATTCTGCATGCAGACATTTTTTACTGGAGACTTTCTCTAAGAACTGTATTCAGTTTCAAATTTCGGCCAGTTTGAGATTAATAATTTATTAAATTGAAATATTTTATCCTAAAAAAATATGGGCATTTTATAATGGAAATGTCATTTAAGAAATGACATTGATTTTTTTTCTTATATTGGTAAACCTGGCGACTACAAGTTGCCACGTTGCCAGATCAATGGCGACTACTATTTCGAAAAAAATGGCGTCCAAAATGGACTCCTATGTCGCGACCCCCCTTAGATATACCAGCCCTGAGCATTGTATATTTCTTGTAGTAAAAAAGAAGAACATGATATCTACAATCTATTTGTAGGTGCCATTCGTAGGACCCATCCCAGAGGTCGACAAACCGCGGCTCGCGAGCCGCATGCGGCTCTTTGGTCCCTTGAGTGTGGCTCTTCCACAAACTGCAACGTGCCGCCTAGCACATACAGTACCATTTAAACTTCGTGATGACTTTTTTCTCATTTCCATTTTTTCATACTTGGTGTTTATGTTTCTTTATCTTTAGTCGAGTACTCTGAAGCGACTTATTAAAAAAAAAACATTTTCAGAAAGATAAAATATATTCCTCCTGAGCGCGTATCCGCCCAGGAAAGACTAGAATTGTAGTAAAAATTTACACACCTGCAATTATCACTTTCCTTTACCTCTGTTCAAAGCGCTTTTCCTATAGAGTTGGATGTTCACTCGCAGTGCCTATTCGCGATTCAAGCTAAGTGATACGCCCTCTGGGGGAAATTTGTAGAAGGTTCGTATAAGTAGGATACCGTTCAGTGTTGCCAGAAGTAGCAAAACTTCGCTACGTCGTCGGATTTTAGCTCTTGAAGAAGTGGATAAGACCTTTTATTTAAGAATCAAAATTTGTGTATGGTAATATGTAATCATACCCTATATTTATTTAACGATTTTTTTATAAAACCGATTTATTATATTGATTTTTTTTAAATTTCAGTTCATTTAATAATTTTGTTTTAAAATCAGTTCATCATTTGGCAACATTGGCGTTCGTGTTTATTGTTTACATTTTAATTTGTATCAATTACAATTCGAGTTTTTTCTTACTTTTTAGCTTTAAATTTGTTTATTTCTTATAGTATGTGATAGTGTTTATATTAAAAATGAAATCTGCGAAAAAGTCCCCAGACTTGTAGCAACCAATAGGTGAATATTTCCAACAAATTAAGTCATACACATGATAAATATTATATTTATGACAAAAGCACGAGACTTAAACTTAATAAATTAACACTAAATGAAACTCAAAAACACTATAACAATGAGAATATTATCTAAAAACAGTTAAAAAAATCACAAATACAAAATCCGCCCAAAACAAAATCATGAAAATAAACAAACATCCTACTTATAGGTGACAAATGACAGGCGCACGAAAATTAATTTGAATCGCCAATAGCCTACAGATCGTACAATTTTTTCCTAATCTGTATAAAGAGGATGAATAATAGGAGATAGACGAAACAAGTTTACAAGACGAGTGTGGATGGGAGATATGGAAAGGGTCGACCTCAGTGAACGAACTTCAATCAGATTGAGGGCGCTTTTAGAAAGGCCAACTTAACAGTACCCTAATTAAGTTAACAACAATGTACCTATTTATAGTTTAATAAAAAAAATTGGCTATCAAAAAAATTTTGAGTCGTTTTACTGTTGATATCTGGCTCTGTTGACTAATGAGTTTGCCAACCACTGACCCAACCCAATGGAGATTATTTCTTGACGAGGAGCGTCTAATTGGAAAGCGTTTCCATAACAATATTCAAGGTGGAGAGATGAAAACTGCGTCGGATTGGAAAGTTTATGATTAATGAGGGACATATTTCTATCATATCCTTAACTGTCATACGTCATGGCACACCATTGAAAAGGTAATTTCATGGAGAATTCAGCAGTATGACTATTCACTGCGTTACTTTTGTATTGTACTTGAAAAGATCTAACGTTAAGAAATACAAACGTTAATCTCTATCAACCAAAATATCAAATTAAATTTCTAATAAATTTTTCTTTCAAATAAAGTGTCACCTTTTACAATTCGTTTTATCCTCGGTTTTATCACGCTTGAGGGGGCTAAAATCAATGCAATGAATAGTCATATTACAGAATTCTCCATAAAATTACCTTTTAGTGATGGAGGGGAGGGGGGATAACATAATATGACAGTTGACGATATGTTAGAAAGATGTCCCCCTTTAATAAAAAATTGACATATCCGAGCTTTTGTATAAAATGTTGACGCAGTTTCTGATATATTATTCTGTTGACACTTCAAAGTTTATAATTATTATTTTTGACAAATGTGATGTAGGTATAAACGGACATGTATGTACAACTAAAAATGAAATACTTTTTAAGTTGGTACAATAAATGTAATGTCCCATAACTAACAGAATACTTACGTCCATTAATTACATCGTTTGATCGTACAACAAAACACACAGAGATACAATCATTTTTATCATCCACGTGACATCTAAACAGCACAAAATAAACATACACGTAAAAGATTCCTACCCCAATTTTAACACACCTCGTTAAACTGATCCCTGCATTAAGTCTACCTAATTTATTTGTATTTTTTAACTACCCCGTTAATGTATAAGTATAATAGAAGATAATTGGGGTGGCTTTATATGGTTATAAGCTATTCGCATGACAGTTTTCAGTAAGAATAACAATTAGATGAAGTTGAGGGCATTGAAATGTGAAAGTAGTTTGGAAAAACAGGTGTTTTGGGATGATATAAAGATGATAATCATAATAGGAAATATAATGAAAATTAGGTTAATAAAAATGATGGCGTCTTATTGGAATCTTTGACAGTGGTTATACCGTTTACCTAAAAATATATATTTGTAAATGCCCCAAGTAAAGCATTTACGATTATTACAATCTGATCATTAAGATC